CAGTGGTTCTCAGATTTATTTTTACCCCAAGCTTCACTGGTTTTCATTAACCAGGAGCTGACTCACACCTGGGACACATGATCAATGCCAGAAAGTAAGATAGAAAAAAAAGGACCTACAATCTTTTCATTTAACTCCAAATCTGTTGTCCGTCGTAGTGTTTCAAAAGAATCAGTAACTTTTACATTTTTGAGAGGGAAGAGATTTTCACTTAATGTGAGTGTTAGGTTGTTTAAATAAACTCCTATGTGGGATTACATCAATGAAAACCCCTTAAGAGTATGAAACATACTTTAAAAACATTGCTAGAAGTCTCTAAAAATGTTTATTGCTAGATTTCCATGTAGTATGTGTGCTGTACATTCATGAAATGGTGTCAATGAGAAGCATGTTTGAATAGAACATAGTGTAAAATTGGGCAGAACATGCACTTAATTAGGCAGAAACACAGGGACAGAAAGATATCCCTTATACCCCCTTGTGGGTCTTCTGTTCCCAAGAAACTGTCTCAATTGGCATTTTCTTATGGATCTGAAATCTATTTAATAGAGTGAGGAGTTTCTGAAAACAGCTTAATTACTTTCTCAACACTGATCCTGAGGAAACAGCAAATTGATTTCTATGGAGTGTCCTGAGGGACTCACTGGACTAAAACACATCACCTCTGCTCTTGAAGCCCCTGACATCCTCCTCTAGTCCTTCTCTAATAAGGCCGGGACAAAATCAGTAAGCCACAGTTTTAAAGCCACACATTTTGGCTCAAATTAAATAGCTATAGGAATGAGCTATAGCTATGAAACAAGACGTAGGGGCAAGACTTAACAGAGAAAGGAACTTGACTTGAGTTAGACTGAAAAATGAACGCTGTCAGTGTTTTGTTGGGCATCTCTTCCCCATATAACTCTTAACTGAACACTTACACCAGCAGCGACAACAAGAGAAAAGTGACCAGAAGTGATTAATCTCAAACGAGTGCTTGGAGACAAAAAGTGTCAGATACTTGGGAAGCAGAGAGAAGGTCGACTAAATATGTTAGAGATTTTTAGGAGAGGAGAGTGCCCACTATGTTTTGTGTCAAGACCATTGAATCTGTCCACTCCAGACAGTTGGAGACAACTTGTTGACGATTCTGTCTGTTATCAGGCCTGATGATAAAAGCAGTATTGTTGTTAACTGACAGCGAACATCAGACCCTGCAGGGTTTTTATAATGTGAGGCACTTGCAAGGTCACATTAAAACCTATGATTAGATTGAAAGAATTTGCACCAACAATGACAAGATGCATAAGCAAAGTATTATGTTTTAAAGCTTACAGAAAATGTTGTTTTATGGGCCCCCTAGAATTAATAGACCTGAGTAAAAATCCTAACCAAGCATCCTATATGATCAGAGCCTCATTTTCATTACACCACCATGTAACAAAACGCGGCTATCAATTCTTACAAATCATCATATATCTCATAATCAATAACGCACTTTCAGATACAATTTTAAATGGTTTGACTTAGAGCAACATTGTCAAAATTGTTTACCAGCGGAACAAAAGGATATATAAAAAACAGACAGTAAAGCATGGGAACAGAACAATATTTACAGAAAAGAAAATGACTCCCAAGTGATGTATCTGTCTAACTACAAATCAATGCAGTATTTATTGTACTAGCAGAGCAGGAATTAAGATATGGTCAGTTACAATCTGTGTTGCTACACTGATGCTATTATTCTTAAAGTTTCATCAATGTTCAAATGCGAACCCAGTGGAGCAGGTTTCCTTGATTACAGTGGCAGCAAAGCCTTTGGGTCTCCACAAGCAGCTGCGTGTTGTTGCTTAGCTGCCTGATGGAGCAGCCTCATTAGGCCGCATTTCAAACTTCGTCACTAATGACATTTCACCAGTCAGAATAAGGCGTACTGTGTCACACGGTGATTTATGGTCACTGTTCTTCACTGTACCCTTGAGTGCGTTTGTGCACTAAAAACATAGTGTTTTGATGACTACATCAAATAAGCAGACAGTGCTTGGTGACTTTCTATTAGCCGGTTTGAGGCTCAGTGGGATTTTCAGAGCAAAAGTATTTGTGCAAGGAGGTGAAGAAGGAGGGAGACCTGGTGTGCAACTAGAACTAATGATTTATTATAAGCTCAGATTTCCATTTCTGGTCAGTTTTTTTCCACATATAAAAAAAGGGTCCCTACAGGACAGAGGGGCTAAAGAACTGTTTTGTGTTCTTGATAACTATGGACTGACTCAGCATGTGACGGAGCCCACACACAATAAGGGGCACACTCTGGACTTAATTATCTCAAAGGGTCTGAATATCTCTAAGGTTGTGGTGACTGATGTTGCACTCTCTGATCATTCCTGTGTTTTCTTTGAGAGCTCTATTTCTGTTCACACATCTTTTCAAAAAGAGGCCCCTGCTAACATCTCAGTAAATGAGCTAGTAGATAAAAAATTCAAAATGTTATAGATGCCATTGCTCAAACTAAGGTAAAGGAAGTGACTGGCAAGAAAATATCTCCATGGAGAAAGGCCATGATTGTGAAAACAGAAAAAAGAGAGTGTCGAAAAGCTGAACGCAGGTGGTGAAAAACAAATCTCCAGGTTCATTTTGAAATCTATAAAGAGAGACTTGACTTTTATAATTTGGAATTGAAAATTGCACGACAGCCTTTCTTCTCTGACATCATTGCCAAAAACAAAAACAACGCACGTGCCTTGTTTGCTACCGTTGACAGACTAACAAATCCCCCAGTGTCAGTAGCCTCTGAATTTCTATCCACCAGGGCCTGCAATCAATGTGCCTCCTTCTTCACTGACAGAATTCAGAAAATTACAGTGCCTCTGTATCAGGTACAGCAAATGTTTTGTCCCTGTGTCCACTTAAAATCAATTCAAACACCATGACACAATTCCATCAGATGAATGATAAAAAATCTAGAGGACATTATTCAACTTCTGAAATCCTCCTGCTGCCTTGATATTATTCCAACAGGATTTTTCAAAAATGTTTTTCATTGCATGGCCTCAGATCTACTTCATATAGTAAACAAGTCTCTTCACTCAGGTGTTTTTCCAGAGGCCCTGAAAACTGCAGTCATTAAACCGCTCTTAATCTTAATAATCTAGATCAGGGGTGTCAAACTCAATTTCATCGCGGGCCACATTCGCATAAAGGTTGCACTCAAAGGGCCGGTTGTAACTATATAAATAATACACATCTGAGTTGACAAATATGACATGTGGGGTTCCTCAAGGCTCTATCTTGGGGCCTCTTCTCTTTAACATCTACATGCTACCACTGGCTCAGATAAGGAAAAACAGCAAAATAAGTTACCATAGCTATGTGGATGACACCCACATTTACATAACCATTTCACCAGGAGACTATGCTCCAATTCAAACACTGAGCAAGTGCATTGAACAAATCAATGACTGGATGTGTCAGAACTTTCTCCAATTAAGCAAAGATAAAACTGAGGTAATGGTTTTTAGAGTCAAGGCAGAATGTATAAAAGTTAGCGCTGAGCTTCAGTCTGCAATGTTCAAAACAAATCTAGGTGTAGTCATGGACTCTGACCTGAGTTTCAACAGTCACATTAAAACAATGACTAAATCAGCCTACTATCACCTAAAGAACATTTCTAGGATTAAAAGACTAATGTCACAGCAGGATTTGGAAAAACGTGTCCATGCTTTTATCTTCAGTAGACTGGACTACTGTAATGGTGTCTTCATAGGTATCACTAACAAATCTATTAGAAAGCTGCAGCTAATTCAGAACGCTGCTGCTCGAGTCCTCACTAACACTAAGAAAGTGGATCACATCACTCCTGTTCTGAAGTCTTTACACTGGCTTCCTGTGTGTCAAAGAATTGATTTCAAAATATTGCTGCTGGTTTATAAAGCTTTGAATGGTTTAGGCCCAAAATACATTTCTGACCTACTGCTAAATTATGAACCATCCAGAACTCTCAGGTCCTCTGGGACTGGTCAGCTTTCTGTCCCCAGAGTCAGAACTAAACATGGAGAAGCAGCATTCAGTTATTATGCTCCAAATATCTGGAACAAACTCCCAGAAACCTGCAGGTCCGCTGCAACTCTTACTACTTTTAAATCCAGGCTGAAGACTTTTCTTTTTGCCGCTGCTTTTAATTGATATATTCATATCTTAAACTGCACTGTAACTTTTATTATCTTTGCTTTTTAATGCCATTTTCTTAATGTCTTTCATTTTTGTAAAGCACTTAGAATTGCCTTGTGTTGAGTCCCCCCGTAGGTAGTTAAAGTCATTATTGGGGTTAAACTCCCCTCGTAGGTGGTTAAAGTCCCCTACGTGTGCCGTTTTGGTTTCAAGACCCTGGTTCGCGGAGGACACCAAAAAAGTCCTAGAAAATAAAACTTAAACTTAACTAATGTGCATTTAAAAAAAAGAGGAATAGTTTTGGCGAAAACTAAAAAGGTACCATGGGGTACAGGAATCCGTTTTGGTTTCAAGACCCTGGTTCACGGAGGATACCAAAAAAGTCCTAGAAAGACAAGGTAAACTTAACTATGTGCATTTAAAAATAAAAAAGAGGAATAGTTTCGGCGAAAAACTAAAAGGTACCATGGGGTCAGATTATAATTTTCCAAAGGGGGGTTCGTTTAGCATGAAACACTTGAAATAACTAAAGGACAAGTTAAACAACAAAGTAGAAAGAAAGGGAGGTGATAGAAAACTATTTCTGCTAAAAAGTTAGCAATGAGTCAGACCTAAACATTTCCGATGTGTGTATCTCACACTGCACTGTAACTTTTATTCATGTATCTTTGCTTTTAAATTAGTGTTTTTAGATATCATTTTATAATATGTTTCTTAATGCTCTTAATGTCTTTCATTTTTGTAAAGCACTTTGAATGGCCTTGTGTTGAAATGTGCTATATAAATAAACTTGCCTTGCCTTACCTTACATTGAGTGTTTTATAGTCATAACACAGTGCTGTTGTGTCTCTTACCTTTGGATACTGTTGGATTGGAATGAGAACTCTTTCAGAGAGCTTGATATTTTTATTGCTGATGATATCTAGGTATTTGTTAGTGCTGCCATCTTTTCTCGATTCATCACCTTCATACTTTTCAATCTCTGCAGGAAAACAAAATAGAAGAAACAGATGAAAAGATCATTAGTTTATGTCTTTGAAAACAACATTAGTCAATATCTTCTGCATTACTTTGGAGCCAACAGCGGCATGAAAATCAGGCTGGAGTCACATTAGGAGAAACGTTACTCTGCATTACAGTTAAATATCTTTCTGATTATTTTGTATCTCAGCTGTAAATATGCTCACATTGCAAACTTATAATTATATTAGATTATCCCACTGACTCCTGGTACCTCCTTTTACATCGGGCTCTGTAATCTCATGATCCAGTAATTCCAATCAAAATAACAACAGAGGCACACTCGCCGCGTCTCACTTCGCTGCAAACTGAGCTCTTCAGGGCTTTTGGCAGTCTCCGATCCCTGGGACTTGCACGAATGGTGTATTAAACTTAAAAAATCCACGATGTTATCGGATGAAAGTCCATTGGGCTGGTAAAGACTGGATCTGTGAACTCTCCTAGATCGTATTTGCAGATCATTGGTTCCAATCAAACTGCAGGATAGGCAAATCTTGTGCAAATTAGCCCAATAGTTTCCCCAGCCCTTAATGTAATAAGATGAGAAATGAGTAGTGGATATTAAATGTCAGGGTGAGTTTGACAGGAACGCCCTGCGCAGAGCTATTTTCTTGATTGATGCATATTAAAGCACTTGAGCTGAACCACTCTCAATCCATTAAGTGCTCCAGAAATGAAGTTATCTGTTGTCCACCTAGCAGGATGCTCCTTGTAGTTTATAATAACCGTTGGAATTACAATTATCAGCCTGCAACACACGGGCTAAACAATTAAGGACGTTCCTGAACGAGACCAAGAACGAGTCAGCAACAGCTACTTGGTTTCCTTATTAAAAAACTCAAGAGTTCATTTAGTCTGGAGCACTTCACCGTTATCTGAGCTGTCAACAGCCAGTGGACAGAGCTGAGGTCAAAAACAGCTGCAGCCAATTTGATGTTTCATTACGGACAAATGAATGTAATGTTTTATCACCGAACAACATTCGGATTGACGCATTCCTCAGATTTTCTGTTCACCAAGGAAGGAAATTGCTCACAGAAAGGAATATGTTCTCATGAGGGGGCTGAATCCACCATAAGATTCATGTTTCCCTTCCCAGGATTTGACTAGTAGGCTAAAAGTAATGCCATGTTGAAACAGTGTTCTGGTTTATGTTCCCAGCGAGACTTTTCCTTGACCTGACCTTCTGGACGTCCATTACTCCAGCTTAATGATCCCTCTGTTCAGTTCCAACATTCACCCACTAGCAGTTCCTAATGGCCAGTGGTATCATTTTTACACCCAGGGTTCATTTGTTTGATATTGCTATTGTCTGGGAAATCACCAAGACAAAACTCCAACAGCTTGAAATGGCCCGATTTCTTCCAGCGTGACACAATCTCTCTGATTGTGCCTGATTGTCCGAGGAAGATCGTTTAAATTGGAACATGCCGTCTCCACTTTTTTGCAGTTTTTTTTTGTGGGGTGACTCTAATCGAGGCTACAAAACTTCCTGGAAAAATTGAGCTGATCCAACTGGGCGGGTGTTAATAAATGAATGTTGAAAATTGTAGGTAATCAATTATGTAGAAATCGATACCAGATGGAGGAGCCTTAAACTACTAATATTAAGCGAAGAAAGAATTGTGTTAATCACTTTTGAAGAATTATTCCAGTCTAGACTATAATGTTTTCAATGCACTCAGTCTTATTTGAAAAATCTACACTATAGAGTGTATTTTCACATCCCACGATGAGGCTCTGGAAAGAACTGTATCGGTAAACTCAGTGAACTCTGTGAACAGGTAATGCTTACTCACAACACCATCGCCTGGCTCTGGGTACAGACTGTGCCTGAAAACTTTTGCTGAATCACAGGTAAACAGATTGAAAGACCCCTCCAACCTTTTATTCCCATCAAACCGTGGCTGATTCACATCTCCTTTTGTGACACTTTACACCAGACAGGTGTCCCAGGAAACAAAACATGTCTTTTAAAAATAGCATTTATGCATTCTTGCCTGAGGAGATAAATCAAACGCAACCTTTACAAACAGAAACACATTTTGAGATAGCTCTGCTTTATAGACAGTAGACAGACAGGGTACTGATGAATACAGTATGTTTGTATACAGGAGGAGAATGTGAATTCAGTTCTGTTAGTGATTGGGTTCTGGGAATGTCAAAGATTGTCAGTGGGTCCACCACACAAACTAAAAAATATCAACAACTACTGGATGAATTGCAATGCATTGTGGTACATTCCTGGTCCCCAATGGATGAATCACAATAACATGTTTGATTTTTTTTAGAGATTCACAATTAATAGAACTTCCATTGATATCACAATATGGGCTAGTGTAAAGGGCAATTCGATTTCTTTCAATGATAATGAAAATAATGATTTGAAAAGGATCAATCCCTCCAATATCGTGAATCATATCACAATTGGAGTTTCAGTCATAATTCGTTTTTATATCCAAATCAGGCAGCCCTAATAGGTGCTCCTTTTTGTTCTCTAGTGGCATCATCAGGGTAAAAATAATGAGGTTGATTAAATACCTACAAAACTATTTTTTCACATGTCAGATGTGGCTGACATTAGCATTAAGCTAAACGCCCTGCTGTGTTTAAAAGCCGTCTCAAAAGAGCTGATAGCATGTTCTCTCAACAATAAACAACGCACCATCAGCTAACACCCTAAAAGCAGCATATTTGAAGAACAAATCCTTCTACAATATATACATTGTTATATAGTCACAACGTCCACATACAAAATAGCTTTGATTCGATGGACGGGTCAACAACATATTGGGCATCAGGAAGATAATTTATTTGTTTTTACTTAAATTCAGAATACTTGTTGATTGTTAAAGTTGCGGTAGTTTGAGTACTAGCATTTGCATATATGTTGGTTAGTCATCCCATCGTATGAAGCTCATTTGCATTTGAACTGTTTTTTGTCCCAGTTTCAGGTTTGATCAAGCATTCATCTCTTGATATCCTCTGACAGTAGTTTTGGTCGCTTGGGTCAGAATTTGTTTTTGGCTATGTTTCTATTATGAAGAGTTTCACTGTCAAATGGACATGGTGTTTATATCTTATGAATAAAGTAATAGTGTATTTCTAGCCAATGAACATGATTATACTCTGGAACAGCACAACATGGGAAACACCTTTATTCTGGTCTGCAGCCTGCCAGTGAACTCTGAAGAAGATTATGTGTGTGAGAGAAAAAGAGGGAGAGAATGAGGGAAAAGGAAAGAGAAACAAAAAGAGTAAAATTAGCTTACAATATATATATCTGGGGGAAACGTTCACATGAGTATCGTCATTGTCAAATATGTTGCAGGGAGCGACGGGAGTCAAAAGATCAGAGGAGCGAGAATGTGCTTTGAAGGTCACTGGTTTCACACAGGATGAAAAAGATCTCCTTGGGGGAACTGAATGAGTAAAACACTCTGAGCGGTTATTCTGGGGCTGTGGATCCCCTCTGTTGCTCTGCCCAAACTGCTTCAGTGGAGCTGCTCAGTGACCGAGAATGAAAATCAAATCTGTGGTTTAACTGGGCAGCTATACTAGATACATTTGTGCAACTGAAAAAGATGGCAGGCTCAGTCAGCCTGCCATGGCTTAAGGTTAAAACCAGCTTTGGTCTGTATGAAGCCACACAGACTGAGAAACAGTTTGAAGTTCATTTATCCTGGACACCAGTCAAATATCAATACACAGAACTGTATTCCTAGTTTTTATAATACAAGCTTCTAACGGAGATTTGGATATTCAAAGATTCAAGATTCAAAGGTTTTATTGTCATCTTCTGACCTGAGCTCCTCCAACAATGCAACATATATAATAAAATACAAAATAAAAAGTAGTGCAAAAAGTCTATATACATGTGAATAGAATATGGGATATGTACAAGAACAGAATATGAAATTAAATAATGTTAATTAAGACTAAATTAAATACGGTTTATTGCGGTGATAACTATTTATATAAATTAGTATATTGCAAGATGACAAATTGGATTTTGTAGCGACTATTAACAGAGATGGGGCTCCCTTAATTCAGAAACGAGTTCCTTTCAGTAAACCTGCTGCACCACCGGAGAGTTTATGTACTAAACAGGACATTCTTGCCGAGCAAAAAGCTATTTTTCTATTGAGGTATGGCAGGATGATGGACTGTGTTGCACTGATATTATCTCTCACTACTTGCACAGACTGGAATTCACCAGAAGCTCTCGTATATTTTGCTGAACGGACAATACCACAAACATAAATGGGCTACTGTGTTTGAGCTGCTGCCAGTAAATAATAGCATGTATGCAGAAGTTCAATAACATCTGAAGAAGGGGGAATGGGAGCGGCACCATTTGTTGGGAGATAATAGGTTTATGGCTGTTTATCCTCACATCGTAGCTTTATTGGATTCAGTTGTTGTTTGCCATACAGTCCGTGCAACTAAAGCATGCACTTTCTTCTGCTGCTGGATGGGAGCTGTTTGTAAACTGCGTATGCTTTCATTTCTGATCATGTTGGTGTGTGGAAATTGTCTCTTACTGCACTGCTAGGGGGTTTATGTTTTGTTTCTTCTGAAGGGTCAACAGAGAAATGTGGACTCATAGTGTGGACACACTATAATACAGCCAAACACATCACTGGTCCTTATATAAAAAACGTTTGATTAACTCCCACATTGTAGCGCTGACGTGCCACAAAGCGACTTGATGAGATGAAACAAGAGCGTGAAGATGAAGCTCATCACGGCCAACAAAGAAAAATCTGATAGCTGACGTGCTCTGTGCGTCCTTCCCAGTTTTCCACTGTGCTAGCCTTTTATTTTGCAAACCTGGCTGAAAGACTGGAAACCTTGAATAACATGCAAAGGGATGGAAGAGCATTAAATAAAACTGCATAGTAAATGCTAGAAAAACCTATTTGATCTTCCTATTTCTATCAGGTTTAGTTGCTGCTATCA